AATTACCTTCATACAATATCAAAGTTTCAAGTAAAATTATTACATGAGGATAAGGAACTTCATGATACGTATATGTACATAAATGTGCGTAACAGTTAAAATACGGAATTTTACTTACAAATAGGGAAGCGCTCCGTCATGTGGCTAGAATTTCTAGAACCTCTGGAATCAGTGTTCAAAGTACCCACGAAACGATACCCTGTAAAAAGTAATACGAAATACCCGTAAAACATGGGTAGAGATAACAATAAAAAGTTTGTATGAGTATCAGTGGAAAAAAGGGAAGCATCACCAAAACAGTAACAAAACCAAAAAACTGTTCTCAATAAAATTTCAGTGAAAAACGGTTAAGTAAAAAATAAAAAAAATAATAAAAGAACAGTAAAAAAAAAAAAAAAGAAATTTAAGCCCCGACCATTAACATTTTTGTATTAATAAAAAATATTTAATGGGGCTATACTGTACGTGCACATTGAACACGTATACGGCGAGAAGCTTCGTTATATGTTTTTTCTTCTTTGAAAACATAATAACTTATTTTAAACGGTGAAAACATTTGATTATTACTATATTGTAAGTAGTAATAAAAAGTTTGCCCTACATACATAATGCATTACATTGGAAAAATTCATAACGTACAGTAGTTAATATATCAAGTGACAATAATTAAAAAAAAAAAAGCTGTTGAAAAATAATTTTTATACAAATAAAGCAGATAATACAACAAAAAATTATCTAGATTATCAAGATTGTCCATCTGTCTCTGCCGCATTTCATGAATAATAGATAAACATATACGTACACCACAATGAAAAAAAGTTTGGTCATAAAAAGGATCAATAAAATGGGTTCACTTGACGAGTGAAGTAAAAGCAGTGTATGTATTATATACCCAAAGAAGATTTATAATCAACGACTGCATAGTTTGGCTGAGAAAATCTTTTGTTTTGTTTACGAGAATACAGATTGGTACGTGTGTATACAAATATATACCTAAAGCTGAGATGAACACCGAATGATACTCTGCCGACTGAATACGAATGAAACAATGATGGGTGATAGTAGAAAATGAAAACGATGCCGTTTTTTCGTGGTGAATCATTTTGTTTTTGCACGTGGAATTTTTTCGTGAGCAGCGAGATTAATATTTGGTATCGTTTTTAACATTTGAGGCGTACTTTTTCAACACTTGAAAAGATAATTTTTCGTTCCAAAATTCATAATCGTTTGCTGAAAAAATTTTTTTTATTTATCATTATTTGCAACGCATCATTTTAGAAATTTTTTTATAGTAGTTAAATCAATATTTTTTATACTAATTAAAATTTATATAGTAAAGTATTTGAAATCAAATATTTGGATTTTTTTAAGCACTGTGACTATTTTTTTCTAAATTACTTTTGTTTCCAAAATACCATGCATTATTTTTCTAGAAAACTTATTTTAAGACCTGTGTTATAAGTCGTACTTTGAAAAATTTTTGTAGCATTAATAATGGATTACAATTATAAACAATTTTGTTTCAAGAAAATAAAAAAAATGTTTGTGCCTAAATCTACAGCAATTTTCAATCAGTAATTTTGTTGACTTGTTCAAGTGGCTATAATTAGTGATTTAATTATCTTATGCTAGTTAATAATGTCATAAATTACTGTGTAATTTTCTGTAGGTAACGGGTCAGATAAAATATATACAAAATTCGTGTATTTTTAACATATTAAAGCAGAAGTTATTATAGTTTCTTTGTAAAATTATTTAAAATCAAATTAAATTAGGATAACTAATTAGGTACAAATAAAAACCAAGAAAAACAATCTTGCGTTTGTCTTATTTTTCAAATACATTTTATAAACTAGACAACAATTGATATCAGAATTCGACACTTTTTTATTTTTGCATGAAGATGATTAGCCATGATCTGATAAAGAGCGCAATCATAACATCGAATATGACTTTTGACCAGTTTAGAGATTTTTCAATTATCCAGCAACTGGTGTACAGAAAATCTCGAGTCACTATCAGTATTGATGATATCAAACTTTGATACTATTTTGACACTAAATCCGGTAAACGTATACAACAAAACCTATGAATTAACGATTCCACTCAACCTCAAGCAGCTTGTGAAATGATAATTTTTTAATTAAATTAGTATCAGACACGAGCTGTCACAAGAGTAGGTATGCGACAAACATCAATAATAATCACTGAAACGTCTCAAGGAGGATACAAAACAAAAAAAAAAAAAATGGATGAACTGATCAAGTTTTTTTTCTCGCACACTCTTGTTAGTGCAGCTTTTTTCACAACAACGACCCAAATGACCGAAAGCATTATTACGCAAGCCAACCAAGGCTTGCACAACATAAACGGCCATTCAATCCTTGTATTGGGCAATTTCTCTGAAAAGACTTTTCTTAAAAGGCCCCAAAACGTTTGCATCTGAATAGAGACGAAACGTCCCATGTACATACCATGTACTCACACGCTTACGGTTTTTACGAAAGTTTTGACAGATGACGCGAGCCGCACATCGCGTGAAGGAAAAAAAAAAAAAAAAAAAATGTACATTTGCGTACCCACTTGAAGATGAATTGTACGCGCGATTCGCTGAGAGAGAAGGCTGAGTCCTTGCCGCGAAGGAAAAAAAATGATGCGTGTTACAATAATGTTGGCCGAAACAGTTTCTCGCACAAAAGCTTTTCGAGCCGTTCAAAGTCGATGCACCCATGGCAAGATGTGAATTGCGACATTCCACGAGCAGGAAGGAGGGGGGGGAGGAGAACCATGTCGAAAAAAAAAAAAAAAAAAAAAAGTAAAAAACGAAATGCGTGCAGCGGTGAGAGTTCAAGTGCCTCGCCGCGCTAACGCGAGAGTCACGAGATGCAAATGGATGTATGTACATGAGAGCACCGGCAGTAGCAGTTATAACTAGCAGAAGAGGCAGAACGAAGATTAAACACTAGGAATCATATGTACGTGTGAATATTCCGAGGGGAGAGGCTTCAATTGGATGGGGCCTCTCAACGAGATGAGAAAAATGGTTAACGATGGTTTAGCAACATTAAATGTGCAACAGAATAGCTCCTTGTTTTTTTAACTTTTCAACAAAAACAATGTATTTCCAAGCTATAAATCAATTAAAAAATCCGTGCGCCCACTCGAGAACTTATTAATTGAGACATTGGTGAAACATCATCGCCCGCGTCAGTGTACACAAATGTATAGAACGGTTCGAGTGCTACTTCAATTAAAGATAAGCCGCTTAACTAAATCAATGAAAATCTCGATAAAAAAAAAAAAAAAAAAATCATAGTCTCGAGTATGTACTATACCCGTAGATAATACTTTTATACGTGCGTGAATCACCCGCGAGCAGTATTTATTATCATTATTCACAAAAGCACGTGCGACCAGCTCGTAAAATCGTTGAGTAATCGTTCCTCAAATTTCACCCCCGTG